GCTGGAGCCTCCTGACTCCGGCTGGGCTTCACAGCAGGTGAGTGAAGGGCACATCCCATCTCTGACACAGCCAACCCCAGTGCTGAGCTCTTCCTTTAAAGCAAAACTAGGGAAGAGCAAAATGGGCTTTTGCCCAATGGGATAATTCCCATCCTGGGAAATGGCCAAGGATGGGCTGGGGGTGTTCACCTGGAGAAGGGAAAGATCCAAGGAAAGCTCAGAGCCCCTTGCAGGGCCTGAAGGAACCTTCTAAAGGAGGACAGATTTTTATAGGGCCTGGAGGGAGCAAAAAGGGTTTTAATCCTAAAGAGGGTTGATTCAGGCTCAGATATAAGGAAGAATTTTTTAATGGGAGCCAGAGAAGCTGTGGCTGTCCCTGAATCCCTGGAAGTGTCCAAGGCCAGGCTGGAGCAAGCTGGGACAGTGGAAGGTGTCCCTGCCATGGCAGGGGTGGCACTAGATGAGCTTTAAGGTCCTTTCCATCCCAAACAATTCTGGGATCAGTAACTGGGGCTGAGCCAGGTGCCCATCCCACCTCTCCCGTTTGGGTTTGGCAGGAGGGATGGGATGCTGCCAAAGGGATAAGGAAGCTGTTTCCATGGAAACAGGTTCATTTTTTTCCACTCCCTTGTCTTTTTATTTATTTATTTATTTATCTGCCAGCACGTCTCTGACCTGCAAGCTGCTTCCCAGGGATTTAAACACCACATTGGACATCCAGGATAAAAAATGGCTGGGGAAGGGAATAAAATCCCCATGGAGAGGGGCTGGGAGCTGGGGCTGGAACCAGCACTCAGGATTAAGGTTTTCTTTGCCCCATGGAACTAATCGAGCTCAGACCATTCTCTTTCCTTAAGGAAAGGGTGAAACATGTGGAATTTGGGTGTATTGAGGCTCCTTTTCCACCCAACTCCTGTTGGGATCAGTGGGACTATCCCATCTCCCACCCCCTGGAAAACGTGGCTCTGCTATTTTCTATTTTGCCTGTTGTATTTTTATACTTTTCTGGATATATTTAGCTTTTTTTTTTTTTTTTTTCAGCTGAGCTACCTATTTTTAGCCATGGCTTTTAGCAAAAGCCACAAGATGCCTGGCAAAGGCATCCAGCCCCTCACGAGGGATTCCCACGCCCCAGCCAGACAGTGACCCTGTTCCCAGTTATCCCTTCTGGATGTGCATCCTGGCTGGTTTTGGGGAGGAAAAAGCAATTTTTGGGAGATCCTGCTTGTCTCAGTGGGGATGCAGCAAGCTGGGCTGGGCTCAGCTCTTGGGAAGCAGAGGGACAGGGAGAAATCCCAAAGTGAATTAGATCTGGGACAAATTTCTCCATTACAATACCCAGCCTGGAACCATTTCTGGACTAAAGGCCCTTTTTCTGTCCAAAAACCCCCTTTTCTGTCCAAAAAACCCCCTTTTCTGTGCAAAAATCTCCCCTTTTCTGGACCAAACCCCCCTGGGTGATGCCTGCCTGGTAGGAACAAGCCTGGTCCCTGCTCTCCCCAAAATCCTGGCTGTCCCAGTGGGATTCACCCCCTTTGCTATAACTGAGTGGAAAATGCTGGTGCATCAGGGATGGAAAATGTGACTTTTTTTGCAAGGAAGGAGCAGGGAGGCTGCTGCTTTCACCCCAGAAAGGAGCTGGTTTCGGGGTGGGTGATGCTGCTTTCGGTCTTTGCAGTGAGGGAAGGGAGAGGTTTCAGCCTGGCCCATGTCAGCACTTTCTGTTTCATTCCTGCTTTTCCTTTTGCTTCAGAGGGGAGGGATGGGTTTTATGGAAAGCAGAGAAAAACCTCACTGGGAGGTGAAAAAAGTCTGGAAAACTGAACCATGGAATCATCCAAGTTGGAAAAGCCCTCTAAGGTCATTCCACCATAAATTATGGAATGGTTTGGGTTGGAAGGGATCTTAAAGCTCATCTTTTTCCATCCCCTGCCATGGGCAGGGACACCTTCTGCTATCCCAGGTTGCTCCAAGCTCCATCCAGCCTGGCCTTGGACACTTCCAGGGATGGGAAAATGCCATTTTTCTAAACATTTAGGAAAATTCCAATCTCCACCCACGCAGACCTTGAGCTAAAACCCAACTAAAAGAGGAGAAAAAACTTCTGGAGATGGTTCAGCTCTGATTCCATGGGTTTGGAGCTGGAGCTGGGGATGGATCCAGCAGCAGGCACCCAAATTCCAGGATCCTCTCTGCTCCACAGCCTCCCAGCTCTGTGCAAAGCAGGCAGCAGCTGCTGCTGACGAGGAGCTGGCAAATGAATCTTAATTATTCCTGCAAGCAGAGCTGGCAGCTCTGGGGTGCCAGAGCCCCACAGGAGCCCGGGCTGGGAGGGAGGAATGGGATGGCAGCTTAGCAGGAGGGCTCAGCATCCAGAAATGCTCCTTTTGCAGTGGCTGCTTTGGGTTGGATGTGCCATTTGGTGTGGAAATGCATCCAGGAATCCAGGAGGGTGGGACTGGCTGGGATGGAGGAGGGCTGCTTGGCCCAGAGCAATGGTGGCTTTCAGCTCAGAGCTCTTTAAACCCCAGTCTCAGCTCATCAAGCTGCTCCACTCCCACGTTTGTTGCTCCACATCACAGATAGGAGGTGAAGATTCCTCAGGATTTGGACATCCTTATTCCCTGGTATTTGGGCATCCTCATTCCCTAAAATCTGGACATCCTCACTCCCCAATATTTGGGAATTTTTGTTCCCCAAGTATCTGGGAATAATTTTTTTTCTTTATATGGGCATCCTTATTCCTCAGTGTTTGGGTATCCCTGAATTCCTGAATTCCCCAGGGTCTGGGTGTCCATGTTCCCCAGTATTTGGACATCCTCAGAATTTGCATTTTATTTTCCAGTATTTGGGCATCCTTATTCCCTGATGTTTGGGCATCCTTATCCTTCAGTATTTGGACGTTCTTATTCCTCAAAATTTGGAATCCTTGTTCCCAAGTGTTTGGGCATTTTTATTTCCCAAATATCTGGGAATCTGTATTTCCCTCTGCATGAGCTTTCTTAGCCCTCAGTATCCTTATTCTCTGGTGTTTTGGCAGCCCTGAATTCCCAATATTAGGGCATTCTTAGGGAAATTTTTGGGAAAGCTGGAATGAGCAGACCGAGAGCTGACACAGCTGCACCAGGGATCAGGGATGTGCCACGCTGTTTGCCCACCTAAATCCCAATTTTTAGTGCCCGTTCCGGCTGGGTGCTGCTGGTGACAGAAAAAAAAATGTCATTCAAATGTACCCAAGGCTCTTCATTCATCAGAGAGCAACACAAACGAGGTGTTTTTTGGAGCTTAGGAACCAACTAGCAAAAACCAGCAGCAGAATTTTTGTGTCCGGGCATTTATCGCCAGCATTTTTCATGGAATCCCAGAATGGTTTGGGTTGGAAGGGACCTTAAAGCCCATCTTGTACCAGCCCTGCCATGGCAGGGACACCTTCCCCTGTGCCAGGCTCTCCCCACCCTCCCAGGGAGGAGATCCCAGCCAAGCCAAGCTGTGGAGCATCCTCCTCTCCTCCAACCCCCAGCTCCTCTTTACTCACTGCAGTCAAGCAAGCAACACCCTGGAAAGTGTCCTCAGATCCAAGGAAAAATGCCAAAATATTTGAGCATGGCATGTAGAGGGGAGTTTATTTTCCAGGCATTGGATTTCCTAGCAGTGACCTCCCTCCCTGGGCCAGCACGGGAATGGGAACTTCCAGAGGCAGGACTAGAGATGCGGGGGATGCAGAGAGAATGCCTGACCCCATTTGGGGAATCTGGGAATTCCCAGCGTGGTGGAGTGATGGCAGCACTTGGATACAGGTCACTCAGGAGCTGTGCCAGCATTATCCCAATTAATCTCCAGGTCCCCTCCACAGAGCTCAGCTCCTGGCCTTAGGCAGCAAAATCCTTTTGGATTTCTAATTTTTATTGATATTTTTATTTTCTATTTTTCGTATAAAATATATCTTGTAATTTTTATATTTTATATTGTTCTATATACTCTATTATAGATATTAAAATATATACTTTTATATTAACAATAGTTTGAGTTTTAGATTTGGTTAAGATAGACTTTAAGACTGCAGAAAAAATATGTTTAGTAAGATAGTAGAAGGTTTGGAGCTTAATAATGGTGTAGTGTGTATTGTTAATAGAAGGCACATAAGTAAGTATTGTGTGAAGTACATGTACCTTTAGTGATTGGTTAGAACATTTGTTTGTAACTTTAGCAATATGCTATTGGCTAGAAAGTTTCTAAAATGTTCTGTAACGAAGAAATCTTTGGCAGCTGCTGGTAGGACGTGAGCTTTTGCTATCTTTCTATTGTCTCAACCATGTGCTGTTGAGACACTGAGGCTGATGTTGTACTAAAATTCCAAGGAACATCTCTCAGTAGTCTCGTTCTGTTTGTGAAAGACAAAAAAACTTCCCCAACACAAATGGTGCCACATGAAGCAAAAGATTCATTTCAGAATCCTTTGTAGACCATTCAGTGGCCAGTGCTAAGAGCCCCAGATTAAGGAAACCTAAAGAGGGAAATCGAAAGAGGGCTGCGCTCTGCTGCTCAAACCCTTCTCCAGCCACCAAAAAAACGAGGGGAGAGATGAGATAAACAATGCACGGGCTGAGCTGAACCTCCAGCCATGGCCCTGGGGGAGCAGGTCCAGCCAGGAGCTGAGCTGGAGCATTTTGGCAGCACTCCCCAGGAGATGCTCCTTCCACCCCAGCACGAGCTCTGCGCACCAGACTGTTCAATCCATGCCCTGTGCACCCTCCAGCCTGCTCGGGGCTGCCAGCAGCCCTGGGCTACTTGCCCACTGACTGAAACCTCTTCCTGTGCTGAAAACCTCGCTGAATGCAAGCAAAAAATGTCACTGGGGGCTGGGCTTGCACGGCACGGGGCGTGGGGACACACGGAAGGAACCTGGGGATGTGACACCCGGCATCACCAGGATCCCTGGTGATGCCATAAATGATGGTCCCGTGGAGCTGAGTTTCATTTTCTGTTCTCTTTATTTAAAGGCAGTGAAGGACCAAGAGGAGCAGAGCTTCCCTTAGAGGCACAGATCACCGGAGAGATCGGCTTCTGGTAAAAAACAACCCCTCCTTGTGCTCCCCTCCTCATCCTCAAACCCGGCTGGCCCTGGCCTGACTCCTTCTCCAAGCACAGGCACCAGGGCCAGGTTGATTCCTTCTATAAATCCCATAGATTTATATGGGATCCCATATAAATCCCATAAAAATACATTATATATATAATATATAATAATCTATATTATATCTAGATTATATTATATACAATATAATATATAATTGTAATATATAGTATAATATTAGATGTTATATTTTATATTTTATGTAGAATGTGTGCATATATATATATAATCCCATGAAAAACCCATTTTGGAGCTGGCAGGCAGTCCCAGTGAGGCAGGAGCACTGCTGGAAAAGCTTTGCTGCTGCAGGAGCTGGATGCTGGGATTGTGCTGCCTCTGCCAGAGCTCACTGCTGGTAGAAGGTGCTGGAAAAACATCCGGGATCCAGCCTGGAGTGGCCTTAATGAGCATCCCCCGCCTGCCTGGGGTAGAAATCTCCAGAAACAGGAAACTCCAGCATCCTGTTTAGCATCTCAATGTGCAAATTGGCAGCAAGGACAAAGCCAGGGAGGCCAAGGGACGCTGGACACACACTGGGCACCGGCAGGGGCTGGAGGATGGGCAGGGAATGAGTCTGGCACAGAAATCCTGTTCCCTGGTTTTTGTTGCTGTCGTGGAACAGGGAACAGCAAAGCCCAGCTCAGCTGGGCTCCTGCTGCTGCAGGCTGGGCTCTGCACACTCCCAGTGCCACCTAAGCGGCGTCCCAGCTCTGGGGACAGCACTGGCAGCGTGTCCCTGCCCTGGGCTGGCATCTGCCGTCCTCACCCCTCGTTCTGATGGCTCTGACACTCCACACGTGCAGCTTTGGGGGCTGGCAGGGCTGGGAGCAGCCCAGCAGCTGATGCCGGTGTGTTCCTGCCCGCAGCCCATCCCGGGAGCCCTCCTGGCCTGCCCATGGCTAGCAACAACACTGCTAGCATAGCACAGGCCCGCAAGCTGGTGGAGCAGCTGAAGATGGAGGCCAACATCGACAGGATAAAGGTAGGGATTCTTGGGAGCTGCCTCTGGGAACGCTGGGAGGTGGTGGCTGCTGCCCAAAGCGCGTGGAGGGAGCTGGGATGGGGAGCCAGGTGGTGTTTGTGGAGGATGCTCTTGTTTTAAGTGATCCTGATGGGCCTGGCTGAAGGCAGTGGGAGATGGGATTGTAGAATCTGGGAATGGTTTGGGTTGGAGGAGACCTTAAAGCCCTTTTTGTTCCAACCCCCTGTCAGGGACACCTTCCACTATCCCAGGCTGCTCCAAGCCCCATCCAGCCTGGCCTGGGACACTCCCAGGGGTGAGAGGCAGCTGGAAGCATCACCTGGAGCCCTGTGGGGTGGTGGGAAGGAGTGACTGTCCCCATGGCATCTCAGCTCCTTGCTAAGAGCTTAAATCCAGGGAGAGAAGTGCTCCAGGGCTGGGATGAGCTCTGGTGGCTCGGGAGCCGCTGCCATGTCTGGAATAAAGAGCGAGGCTGGTGGGTGAGGGCAGGAAATGCTGCTGTGGATGTTCCTGCCAAGGCATGCGTGGGAGAGCCAGCAGGGATGCTGAAGTCAGTCCTTGCCAGGTGAAGGATGGGAATGGGGGAAGGCTGGGAAGGCTGGGAATGGGAATACAGGCTGACAGAGCAGCTCAGAGCCCAGAGGTGAAGAACCAGCCCAGAACCAGCCCCAGCAGGGACGCGCTGCTGTATTTGTTAATCAGGTTCTCATCTCAGATCTGATGTTCCCAGCCCAGGGATGCTGCCAGCCTGGTGGCACCTCTCCAGGTGGGATGTCCCCAGCACAGCCTGTCCCTAACCCAGGGCTCCTCCTTTTTCAGGTGTCCAAAGCAGCAGCAGACCTGATGGCGTACTGCGAAGCCCACGCCAAGGAGGACCCGCTATTGACCCCCGTCCCGGCCTCAGAAAACCCCTTTAGAGAGAAGAAGTTCTTCTGTGTGATCCTGTAAACCCTGGAGGAGCCTGACGGGCACTCAGGCCACCCTGAACACTGATGTAGAGTTTTTAGGAATGGGGACGACCTGCTGGTCCGCAGAATTTAAACAAAAATAAGTAAAAAACACGGCCTGGAAGCTACAGAGATGTGCATGTTTAAAGAACCTGGCCACCTTTGGGGGAATCAGATGATCTGCATTGCGAGGCAAAAGATCTGAAGTCTGTAGAGTTGCCTAGAAAGCGAAAAAAAAACAAACAAAAAAAAAACCCATGTAAAGAATAAATCTGTGTCACTTTTCTGCTCACAAAATTGTTTGATTGTTCCATATTTAAAGCACCAGAGCTGTGCTGAGCAAAGTTAACTGCTAAGGATGTGTATAACCTTCTTGGAATGATATTGTTGGTTTCTTTCCAAGCTAATATTTTTGATTTAAGCTGTCAGATATATAGCAGACAGGTTAGGTGGCTGTGCTGTTACTCAATGTTTGGTCTTGTGCTTTTTCATTTCTGGCCGTAGCGTAGCAGGGGGGTCAGGGGACACCAGCAGCTCTGTGTCCCCAGCAAACCCCACTTTTTACCATTCTCTCTATGGTTAGCTTTGGTTCTGCAAGTAAAAGTGGTTCCTGTGTCGTGCTTGGTGCTTCCTAGCCCTGTGATGACATTCAGTGGTAGTGCATGAGAGTTTAATTCCGTTCATCCGCTCCAGACTTTTCTTTTCCAGCGTTCGGCACCACGTGCTGGTGGAAGAAGCCGTAGGGAGGAAACAGAGGCGATTCTGAAAGCAAAGAGAGCTCCTGAGATGCCTTAGACGTGCCTGAAATACCTCCTGCCACCGGGCAGGCACCAGCCCGGGTGCAGGGCGAGCCAGAAATCCGAAAATCAAAGTCGACCACTTCTTTCCGGGTCTTTCCTTTCTCCTACACCTCTGTGCCTCTGCTCTCCTCGCTTGGTCCTGCTCTTTTCCCAGTTCCTGGTAGCATTTCCTTCCCTTGGGGCTGGTCTGGAATGTTGCTGGGATGCTGCTAAGTGGTGGGATGCTGCTTCAGGGTGGGATTCTGCTCCATGGTGGGTTGCTGCTCCTCCACGGAATGCTGCTCCTTGGTGGGATACAGCCCCATGGTGGAATGCTACTCCAAAATGGGATTCTGCTCTTCCATGGAATGCTGCTTCTCCATGGAATGCTGCCCCTCGGTGGGATACAGCCTCACGGTGGCTTGCTGCTCCTCCATGGAATGCTGCTTCTCCATGGAATGCTGCCCCTCGGTGGGATACAGCCCCATAGTGGAATGCTACTCCAAAGTGGGATGCTACTCCAAAGTGGGATTCAGCTCTGTGGTGGGATCCTGCCCGTGGTGGGATTCTGCTCCACCATGGAATGCTGCTCCATGATGGGAGCAGCTCCATGGTGGAATGCTACTCCAAAATGGGATGCTACTCCATGGTGGGATTCTGCTCCGCCATGGAATGCTGCTCCATGGTGGGATACAGCCTCATGGTGTATTGCTGCTCCTCCATGGAATCCTGCTCCCTGACAGGATACACCCCTGTGGTGGAATGCCACTCCCTGGTGAGATTCTGCTCTACCATGGGATGCTGTCCCACCATGGGATGTTGCTCCTCCATGGAATGCTGCTCCACGGTGGGATACAGTCTCATAGTGGAATGCTACTCCAAAATGGAATTCTGCTCCGTGGTGGGATGCTGCTCCACCATGGAATGCTGCTTCATGGTGGAATGCTGCTCCACCATGGGATCCTATCCCACCATGGGATGCTGCTGCTCCATGGAATGCTGCTCCATGGTGGGATGCTGCTCCTCCAAGGAATGCTGCCCCACGGTGGGATACAGCCCCATGGTGGGACGCTACTCCAAAGTGGGATGCTGCTCTTCCATGGTGGGATGCTGCTCTTCCATGGTGGGATTCTGCTCGACCATGGAATGCTGCTCCTCCAAGGAATGCTGCCCCATGGTGGGATGCTGCTCCTCCATGGCACGCTGTCTCACCATGGGATGCTGCTCTACGTTGGGATGTTCCTGCCCCTTCCTGCCCTCCCCTCCTGTTCCCACTGCCCCCTCCCCACGTTGGGAAGGGCCAGGGGAGCAGCCCCGGAGCCGCGGGGCCGCCCCTTCCCGGAGGTGCCTGATTCCCTGTTTACACACGGCCTGGGCTCCGTGCCAGGCTGGGCAGTTATTCCCAGGTCTGCTTCATCTGCTCCCAGCTCTCGGGGGACACACGCCACCTTTCTGGGCTCCTCCTCGGGTCCATGCTTTTGTGGATGTGGCTTGTCTCTCCTTTCTGCTGCTAAACACCTCCTGGCTTTCCCCTGCTCATCTGTCCTCCTGGGAAACTTTGGGAATCATCCCTTTGGGAATCATCACTTTGGGAACCATCACTTTGGGAATCATGATGTGGGGATTTATGTACAAAAGGAGCTGGGGGTCACAAAGAGGTTTAGGGGTCTGTGGTGACCCTGCTGAACCAGTTGTGAGCTTTCAAAAATCCCTGTGGATCCAGGAGGATGAAAGTCTTTAGGTACCTTTTGGTAACTCTTTCTAGCCCGTAAAAAAAGTGCTTTTTGGTTTTTCTACCTTTTCATACTCTTTTTCTAGTTCTTCTATGGAGAAGGCCAGTTCTTCTCACACTGGACTCCAAATTTTTGGCACCTGGGAATGTTTATAAGTCACGAGTAGCCCAGATGGTTCCAGCCCCCCCAGTTCCCTCAATTTTGATCTTTTTACTACAGCTCCCGTGGCTTTAGGATGAAGGGTGGATGAAGTGGTTTGCTCTGCAGCTGGTTTCACTCTTGGTGTTACCAGGCAGAGATGTAAAAACCCCATCCTGAGTTTTGTCTTTTCTTCTTAATCTGATTTATTGTCACAGAGAGTGAAGTGCAGCCGGTCTGACCCGGGGCTCCCACCCCACCCCTTCTCAAACACTGTCACAAAAGTGGTTTGTAATAATTTTTTTAACGACTTGCCTATTTTACAACTCGAATTCTTAATACCTTAGACAACAAAATAAACCTGCATGAATAGGGGGGAGCGGGGAGGGGGAGATTTTGAATTAACCCAAACTATTCATTGAAGGTGTTTTACGTTGCTGGGCTTGATTTTCTGTTGGTTGTGGTGTTGCCATTGGTGTGCTGCCAGGTATTTCACCCCAGTATTTCTATTTACACAGATCTGCCTTTGTTAGCCAAGCAGAGATCGCCTGCCAAGGTTGTTTCCCCTCCTCAAAACAAAAATCCCACCCATCCCTCCATCCCCATGCTGGATTTCCAGCCTGGCCTCAAACGACATTCCACTACCCCCAGGCTTTTAAAGAAAAAAAAAAAATATCTGGAGTACTGGAAAAAGGACTTTTATTGTCTGCAAAGGTTGCTGGTGGCAATTCTGTCCATGTGTTGCCACCCTGCCAGCAGCAGGATTTTGGGGAGGGGGTGGTTGTAGGCGAAAGCCAGTCGTGGTGTAGCGCATCCCTATCCCACATGGTCTATGTACTCGTTGGAAATAAACTTTTGGATTTGTTTCAAGCTTTTGGAGATGCTGCTCTGTGCATGTCGAGCCCTGGGGAGGTGGGATCGTGTCCTGGTTGTGGTTGGATGCAGTTCCCAAGGGGTTCTCCTTGCCAGGGAGGGTTTAGCAGGAGTTTTGGGCCGGAGGTTTCCGCAGCTTTTTGTCCCCACAGGGTGGGGCAGGTCAGGGGAGAACAGGCTCCTTCAGGGTGGGACATTGCTCCTTGCTCAGAAATTGAGAGACGCCTGAAATTCCCAATTTCATTGTCCATCCTTCTCCCCTCTCTTTCCTCCTTCTCCCAGCCCTGGCACTCAGCACAGGAGCAAATCCAGAGGAGGCCATGGAGCTGCTCCAAGGGCTGGAGAACGCTCTGGGAGAGCTGGGGGTGTTCACCTGGAAAAGGGAGGGCTCCAGGGAGACCTCAGAGCCCCTTCCAGGGTCTGAAGGAACCTTGTAAAGAAGGACAGATTTTTATAGGGCCTGGGGGGACAGCAAAAAGGGTTTTAATCTAAAATAGGGTTGATTCAGGCTCAGATATGAGGAAGAATTTTTGGCTGGGAGGGTGGGCAGGCCCTGGCACAGGGTGCCCAGAGCAGCTGTGGCTGCCCCTGGATTCCTGGAAGTGTCCAAGGCCAGGTTGTATGGGGTTTGGAGCACCTTGGGACAGTGGAAGGTGTCCCTGTGATGACAGGGGTTGAAAATGGATGATTTTCAAGGTCTCTTCCAAGCCAAACCATTCCAGGATTCTGTGATTCCATGATTCTCACTCTGGACTACCAAAACGCCTCCTGATCACAGAACCAAACATACTCTGCTCCTGCCAAATTCCCCACATCCTGAATTTTCCCTCCAGTTTCACAGGACCCTCAGGGGTGAGTGTTTTTCCCAGCAAAGCTGCTGGACACTTTTGCTGGACACATTTTAAGGCTGCATGGCATCAGCACATTCCTGTGGTCAGGAAAAAGGTGTCACTGTAGGTTCTGAAATAAAACAACCAGCACCCAGCCCAGCATGGATCTGTGCCGATATTCCATTTTTTCCAAGCATCAACTCCCATCCCCTCCATCTCTTTCTGTGTCCATCAGAGCAGCTCCAAAGCAGAGTCCAGGAATCAGCTGAGGCCAAGTAGCCCCAAAATGTGTGGGGAAACACTCACCCCTGAGGGTCCTGTGAAACTGGAGGGAAAATTCAGGATGTGGGGAATTTGGCAGGAGCAGAGTATGTTTGGTTCTGTGATCAGGAGGCGTTTTGGTAGTCCAGAGTGAGAATCATGGAATCACAGATTCCTGGAATGGTTTGGGTTGGAAGGGCCCTTAAAAACCATCCATTCCCACCCCCTGTCATTCACAGGGACACTCCTGAATTTTCCCTCCAGTTTCACAGGACCCTCAGGGGTGAGTGTTTTTCCCAGCAAAGCTGCTGGACACTTTTGCTGGACACATTTTAAGGCTGCATGGCATCAGCACATTCCTGTGGTCAGGAAAAAGGTGTCACTGTAGGTTCTGAAATAAAACAACCAGCACCCAGCCCAGCATGGATCTGTGCCGATATTCCATTTTTTCCAAGCATCAAGATCAACTCCCATCCCCTCCATCTCTTTCTGTGTCCATCAGAGCAGCTCCAAAGCAGAGTCCAGGAATCAGCTGAGGCCAAGTAGCCCCAAAATGTGTGGGGAAACACTCACCCCTGAGGGTCCTGTGAAACTGGAGGGAAAATTCAGGATGTGGGGAATTTGGCAGGAGCAGAGTATGTTTG